TATGAGATCTTTAATTGATATGCCCGGAATCGTGGTTGGTGGGCACAATATAAACAATTTACGTTATGCTGATGACACAGTCTTGATAGCAACAAGTCAGAAAGAATTACAGGAAATGATAGACATTGTGGTGTTAGAAAGTGGAAGAATGGGCCTCAGTTTGAATAATGGGAAGACAGAAGTAATGGTGGTATCAAAGAAACAAATTATTCCTAAATGTGTATTAAAAGTCAATGGTGTTATTTTAAGACAAGTACAGAAATTTAAGTATCTGGGCACATGGATAACATTAGATGGAAGATGCATAACTGAAATAAGAAACAGAATTGGTAGGCAAAAACTGCATTTTATAAAATGAAAAACATCTTGTGCAATATATCCTTGTCATTGAGAGTTAGAAAAAGAATTCTTGCTTGCTACATACATCCAGTTTTAACATATGGATGTGAATCCTGGACAATCGGTAGGCAGGCCAAACAATTTTTGGAGGCCTCAGAGATGTGGTTTTACAGAAGAATGCTGAGAATACCTTGGACAGCCAAAAAGAGCAACCAAGAGGTTTTAAAAGAGGCGGGAGACCGAAGACAACTTATCACTGACATCAGAAGGAGACAGTCATCATTTTTCGGCCATGTTATGAGAAGAGGGAAAATAGAACATGTTGTGACCACTGGAAAGATCTGTGGAAGGAGGGATAGAGGAAGACAACGAGAGAAGATGCTTGACAGTCTTGTTGCATGGCATGGAGGTGTGTCGGCACACGAACTGATACATGCTGCAGGAGATCGCGGATTATGGAGAGGCATGATCGCCCACGCCAGTCGGCAAGGCACCTGATGATGATGATGATGATGCATATAGACACATTTAAAAATATTGCGTGATCTCTGTCGACGTGACTATCTGTCTCCCATTGTTAGATATATTTTACCACGTACTCTTTATTTATTTGTTCATTTTCTGTCATGTTTCATTATTGCGCTATTTATTGAAAGCTTTCTCATCGCAAACAAAGTTTTCCAAATATCATGATCCCACACACACACATCTTGGGCGACGGTACCAGGGTGCTGAAGTACTTTTAGACCCATTTCCCCCTTCTCCAAACAAACTAAACCCTTCCCCATCATATATACATGTCTTCTTTTTGTTCACAAATTTCTTCTTATTAAGAATATTATATTTATTTGTCAATCAGCACATAATAATGACAACTGTTAACATTGCACAGTTCAAAGGCGTAATTCCCCGCACCTTAGACAGTTCAAAGGGCATTTGAGCGGCCCTTCCCTCAGTGTTTTCATACAGGCGGAACTTGATTGTATATGCGTATATATCGGCATTCAGGGTCATAACAGGCGGGATGAAATCGACACCTTTAACTGTGATGGAGAAGATGGCAATGACCTAGGTACCCAAGTACTGACAGAACGCAGAGACACCGAGATACTAACACAAGCAGAAAAGTTTCTTATCATGCCTGAACACCCTATGAAATAAGGATTTGTAAAACACCCTTTGAAAGAAGGATTTGTAAGACACCCTTTGAAAGAAGGATTTGTAAGGCACTCTTTGAAAGAAGGATTTGTAAGACACCCTTTGAAAGAAGGATTTTTAAAATGTAGCAATATGGCGACTATAAAGAAGCAGTTTCATTAACCAGGTCCAACGACTGCAGGCAAACCAATGATCTGCCTGCAACTGATAGCCCCTTAAATGCTACTGCAGATCTGACTACTTTAAAAAAGAAATATAATTAGACAAAACATATCCAGACAGCAGAAAAAGGAGTATTCGATAAAGAAGAACAAAAAGTCTCCAACGTCAAACAGTCACCCTTAGTCTACTTGATGATGAGTACCCAGAGGATCTTTAGGTCCGTGTCTAAACATAGATTAGTCAGCACAAAACCCCTAGCAGAAATGGAGGGGCAGACGTGTACATTGAACATCCAAATAACACCAGAGACAGTCACAATACCAATAGGAAAGAATCTTCACAACTTTGGAGCAGAAGTTTAAGCCATCAAGATAGCAGCAAAGAAACTGCTACAGACACAGAGACCAAATTACCAGATTAAATTCAGCTTGCAGTAAACACAACATGTAGATCAATACAAACAAAACAGAAACAATGCAAAATAGTAGAAGCCGTAGTTGATTACACATACAGCTAAATGGCTCTTGTCTGAATCAAGCTAGAGAATTTAAATATCGAGCAAGTATGATCACAGAAAAGGGCAGAATTGAAAGAGAAATAGAGACCAGATGTCAGAAAGCAAGTACACGTACATAATAATTGTCACCATTGTTAAGACATTCAAAAATAACTGAGTGCAAAGAGACAGATTATAAACAGCATATTTATTTCAACATTAGGCCAAAAGTGTCAAACATGGACACTATCTAGAGCCCATGTACGCAAATCACCGCTTGCGAGATGAGATGCCTGGGGAAAAAAGCCGCCAACATAAGCATCACAGGTCAAGTGAATAATAATACTATCAGACAGATTGTGGGAACGACATGTTGTAGTAGACTCACCGAGGAAAGCAGATCAAGGCCATCTCTTTAGAATGCAGTAAGATCAAATACCATCACAGGCACTACATCTCAGAATATCAGCTACAAAAGCACGAGGGCGGTCACGAAAAATGGATAAACAATATTAAGGGTATCTTACGCCTTCACGGCATGACAATAGCCAGTGACTTCCAGCATGCACTGGATTGCAAATTATTCCTTCCCATGTAGCTTAAACGGCAGAAATGGTTTACGATGATGATGGTGATGATGATGATGATGATGACAGACACCACTACATTAACTAGGCAATTGGTGTAAAGTAAGTACACAATGGATATCATCATCCAAATGTGGCGTTCCCGAAAACGAAAGAGCTGATAAACTAGCAAAGTAATGTGCAAATGAAAAACAACCTGACGTCTCAGTCTTTTATCAACAAAACAAGAGAATAATAAAATCAACCAGAAAGCCACCAAATCTGGCACAATACGATTACCATCTTATGGACATACCAGAGCAAGGCATTATTCTACAGCTCAGAATAGGGCACAATCAACTTCGCAGCCACATGTACACGCAATTCAGGACTGTCGAATCGGCCATGTGAACATGTGGATTGATACCTAACACTATAGATCTATTCATCCAAAACTAATTAATTGATTGATTACGTTCACCCCCCCCCCCACCCCAGGTCCGCACAACGAGCGAGAAACACCCGCTGACACAAAGTGCCACAATTCGGTTGATAATCTCCTGGTCACAGGTCCCAACAACCTGGTTCAACCTTTAGGTCAGTGGTCGGCAAATCGCGGCTCGCGAGCCGCGTGCGGCTCTTTAGCGACCTGAGTGCGTCTCGGCCAATCGGCCACAAATTGGTTTGACTCCGAGAAACATAGTTCTTGACATCAAAGAGAAACATCGATGGAAGACACACTTTATGGGTCGCTGAGTGAATTACAACAAACTGTGAAATTCATTCTAGAGACAACACTGTAGATATAGATAATCTATTTCGAGCGAACCTGTGTAGGGTTATGATTACATTGGGCCGAGAGTGCAGAGATTGGCCAGCGGGTGATAGGGAGTTTAAAATCCTACAGTTGATTCACGACTAGATGATTTGATTATCTATACAGATGGTTCGGTGTCGAGAGGAAAGAGTAGCGAAAGCCAATGGAAAATCTTTAGTGCAGGATAGCCTAGCACATGACATCATAGCATCTAGCGTAAGAATGGAGGTGGAGGCGGTAACTGCAGCTCTCCGGTGGCTAGAGAACAAGATGCACACATGTCGTAATTGTTACAGACTCTGAAGGCATGCCGAGAAAGGTGAAGACATGTATGCTTCGAGCACAGTGGCAAGCTTCATTGGGAAGGTCACGGGTAGTGAGCATACTTTGGATTTTTTCTCCAGGGATGTCGGTGTAGAGGGCAATGAACAAGCAGACAGATTGGCTGGATCAGCACAGATGGGTGGTGAATTGATAAATGACAAGGCAGATGTGGTCAAGAATTTTTGGGAACAAGCAACGGAATCTGTAGAGAAACAAGATTATTATGACTTGGAGAGAATGAGACACCTGTAGCTGGGTGTAGCTAGAGGGTCTGGCCTGCTCACTACACGCAGTGGAAAGGCAAGAGGGACATATAAACAGATTATGACCGGTACCATCAGTATTGGAACTCTGCTCTTGCTGCTGAAGATGAGGACGAAGCACGCATAGGAATGCCCTGAGTGCCGTGACTTCAATTTTTGACTCAACTCATCTCACCTCAATCGAACGAAAGAAGAAGAAGAGAACTTGATTGAGTTGTGCTCAAGTAAATTTCTCTTTCTTTTCGGAACTGTTTTGCATTGTTGGATCTATTTTTGGACTTTCTTTACTTATTTGTTTAAATTTCATCAAATTCGCACAATCTAGGGTTCGCCATAGGCTTTCCCATGGCCAAATCCAATTTTCCCCAATATCAATATATGTGTAAATATATTATGTAATTCGGCGAAATCAATATGGAGGGGGCAACGCATAATTACATCTGGCCAATAAAAATGCACCCGACAGATAACATTGCGATCAATCAGCAGGCGCTACCAAACCAACACAAAACGGGCTGCAGTTTGCTCAAGGCGAGCAGGCGAGAGTCCTAGCTTGCGGTTGTTCCTTCTGGGCGATTTTATGCCGAAATTCGTTCATCATGGAGAACGGCTAAAGGAAGGGAGTTGTATGTTATAGAGGCATACCAAGCGTGATGCTCTCAATACTGATTTTACTACTAGATAGAATCAGCTGAAGATGTTTGTAAATTGAAAATGTGATTCATCGATGACAGCGATGTCGATGAGCACTGTAGTGGTTGAACGTCGTCTGCGAGGAGGCTGATATCCACCGTTCGAAGGGAACGATCGGCGACCACAGTCAGGGGTAGGGACTTATCCTTATCTCGCGCACCCGACGGGCCCTTACCAACACAATGCATGGATCTATTCATGTTGTCCAAGTTTTTGTTTTGGGATATTTTCTTGTGGTGGACGCCGTTGATAATCACTTCTTCACTGACCTATGGGCTGTGCATATCCAGGGAGGTGAGGAGATCGCACGAACTGTGGCCTCCCGAAATGATTTTGTTTACATGGGACAGGTATGTGCCTCTATGCTGACAAATTTATGTCGTAATGTTAATTGTTAATACTCATAGTCCTTTTCACATCTTTGGATATAGAACGTAATAAAAGGATGCGTGTTATTTTGAAGCTGTTAGTTTAGGGAATCACAAAAAATGAATGATGGGTTGTTGCAATGGAATGTCAAAGTAACTAGCATCGCATGAGTGCTAGGAGTACTACTACTGTACTATTGGGTTTTAATCATGTAATATTATCTCGTCCTCCATGGCTGTTTTGTTTACTAATATATGGGCCATTTACCCCCCACATACAGCCATGACCCCTCATAAATTTTGTTTTATCAGCAGTGGTTAAAAAATACTTCATTTTCTATTTGATTTTTGCTATATTCATTCTTGTGACTGTTTTAATGTTATATGCTAAACATTTTGTTACTGAAAAAAAAAAGCATCATTATTACAAATTTTTGCATAATCAGTTTTTCTATAGCTTTCCAATATTTGTCTAATCTAATTTGTTGAATCTAATTATTGTCTGTTAATTTTATCCCACTGCTTCATTTTTAAATTATGCCAGTGATTTATTCATTCCCTTTACTAGATCCCTTGAATTATTCTTTAATGATATATAATATGCCATCAGTTTGCTGCCATTAGCGTCTTTATACCAGTTAATTGGTGCCCTAATTGTATTAATGCACATCCCGCCAATCCCTTTTTAAAATCATAATCTTCATTCACAGCCCATTAACATTGCAGATTGAGGAATTTGCTTAACCATAAAATTGTCTTTTTTTTTAATCTTAGAAAGGACAGTATTTTGAGCTCAGTTGATTGAACACTCAGTGGCTGAGCTGTATTGTAGAGGCCAGCCAGAGAGTTGAGGGGGTTAATCTTGGTTGACTGTCCTTTACAAACCATTGTCTGGCCATATACAGAATAATTTTTAAAATCTGAATTTATCAGGCAAGTTTTTAGATTCCGGAGACTGTATTTCAGAGTTGAGCAGAAAACATATGATAATTTTTAAAGCCATCTGTCTTAGTCCAAGAATCTTTATATAGAACAAGGGCTCTCCAGACCAGAATGTGGGTTTGAAACAGGAAGACACGATTTTGAAAATGTAAAGTCATGTCACCTGTAGACATCTTTGCCAGACATATTTATTGGTTTGTCACCCCTGCAATCATCATCATTATCATCATCAGGTGCCTTGCCGACTGGCGTGTGAGCGATCATGCCTCTCCACAATCTGCGATCTCCTACAGCATGTATCAGTTCGTGTACCAACACACCTCCATGCCATGCAACAAGAGTCAAGAATCTCCTCTTGTTGTCTTCCTCTGTCCGTTCTTTCACAGATCTTTCCAGTGGTCACAACATGTTCTATTTTCCCTCTTCTCATAACATGGCCGAAAAATGATTAGTCTCCTTTTGATGTCTGTAATAAGTCGTCTTCAGGCTCCTGCCTCTTTTAAAACCTCTTGGTTGCTCTTTTTGGCTGTCCAAGGTATTCTAAGCATTCTTCTGTAAAATCACATCTTTGAGGCATCAAGAAATTGTTTGGCCTGCCTACGGATTGTCCAGGATTCACAGCCATATGTTAAAACTGGATGTGTGTAGCAAGCAAGAATTCTTATTCTAACCCTCAATGACAAGGATATATTGCACAAGATATACTTCATTTTATAAAATGCAGTTTTTGCCTGTCCTATTCTGTTTCTTATCTCAGTTATGCATCTTCCATCTGATGTTATCCATGTGCCCAGATACTTAAATTTCTGTACACGTCCCAAAATAACACCATCAACTTTTATTACACATTTAGAAATAATTCATTTCTTTGATACCACCATTACTTCTGTCTTCCCATTATTCAAACTGAGGCCCATTCTTCCACTTTCTAACACCACAATGTCGGTCATTTCCTGTAATTCTTTCTGACCCCTGCAATAGAAGTTTAAATTCCAGAGAATTATGTTTGAGGTATATTTTTTAAATACTATACACCATATTAGTACATATATTAAATTTATATTTTGATGAACAGCAGTTAAGTTATTTTATGCCTTTCTCTGTGCCTGATGTTGTGTTTTGTGATTCCTCTGGAAGTCTTGAGTTTTCATTCTTAAGTAACATGTGTTGACATTTAGGTCATCATCATCATCAAAACCACTTCTACCGTTAAGCATCGTGGGGAGGAATAATGTGTGATTCAGTGCCCGCTGGCTGCCACTGGCTGTTGTCATGCCTTGAAGGCATAGAGTGTCTTTAATGTTATCGATCCATATTTTCCGCGGCTATCCTCTTGCTCTTGTAGCTGATCTTCTGAGATGTAGGGCTTGTTATGGTATTTGTATTTGATCTTGCTGCATTTTAACGAGATGACAAAAACTTGATCTGCTGTTTCTCGGTGAATCTAGTACAATGCATTATTCCAACAGTTTGTATGATAGTATCATTCACTCTATTTCGGATGGTTGGGTTGGCTGCTTTTCTCAGACATCTCATCTCACAGGCGGTGATTTTGCATATATGGGCTTACATAGTGTCCATGTTTTGCACTGGTAGCTCAATGTTGGAATGAATATGCTGTTTATAATCTGTCTCTTTGCACTCATAGTTATGCTTGGATGTCTTAATAATGGTGACAGTTGGTATATAAGTGCACTTGCTTTCTGACATCTGCTTTCTTTTTCTCTGTCGATTCTACCATCTTACGTGATCATACTTCATAGGTATTTAAACTGACCTGATTCAGACCAGAACCATTCAGCTTATGGTCAGAAGTTCTATTAGCTTTCTTTGTTTTGGTTTTGTTTGCTTTGATCTTCATGTTGTATTTACTGCATGCAGAGTTTAACTGTGGTCTTGCAATCTATCTTCTTCAGGGTAGAACAAGCACTGGTCATCAGCAAATAGTAGTTTGTTCAATGTGGGTGAATTGATTACTTTTTCTGATGTGTGTACTTCCTCATGGTTATAGAGATCTGTGTTATCTGTATCAGAACTTGCTTCTTTAGATATTCTGTCTGTATAAATGTTAAATGATTATGGGGAGAGCACACATCCCTGTCTCACACCTGTGTTGACTGTGAACGTATCTGATTTGCCTTCTTATGTTCTTACTGCACTTTGTCTTGTGTGGTACATGGCTATGAGGTTCTCAGTTAACTGTCCTTGTTCCCCATAGTTCTCAAAAACAGACCACAGTTTGTTTCTATCCACTCTATCGAAAGCTTTTTCCTGATCTACAAACACAATATTCTGTTGGGTATTATACTCAATGGCTTTCTCACACACCTGCCTCAGTGTGAATAATGCATCTGTGCATCCTCTGCCTTAAGGATAGTTTGAAAGCCTCTAAGTTAAGCAGAAGTTTTAAAATTAAAACAACCCACCCATGTGCCCCCCTCACCTTATGTGTAGTAGTAATTTTTCGCCATTTAACTTCAGTGATGTATCCCCCCCCCCCCTTTTTTTTTGTTTTCAACTTACTCTGTCCCATCTCTCTCCTTCTTTATGCCACCTTCCCCACTCCACACAAACATGCCCTGAAAAATAGAAATACATATTGTTCTTTATTTGTAAACACAGATTTCAGAATTCCTACAATCTGCTCACCAGTGCTTATAAGTCAGTCAGAAATCTGCCACTGTTGTGTCGTCACTTCTGTACCATAAGAGAAGCAAAGAATCGGAACACCACAACCTATCATGCATGTCATAAGAGAAACAAAGAATTGTAACATAGTAACATATCATGCATGTCATAGGAGAAGCAAAGAATTGTAACACCACACCCTATCATGCATATCATAAGAGAAGCAAAGAATTGTAACACTACAACCTGTCATGCATGTCATATGAGAAGCAAAGAATGGTAACACTATAACTTATCATGCATGTCATTAAAAAAAAAAAGAATTGTAACAAAATTACATATCATGCATGTGATAAGAGAAACAAAGAATTGTAACACTGTAACTGGTTCTTTTTCACCCTATCCTGCTAGATTTGGTATGGAATTCCTAGGTTATTCCCAAGAAGGTCCTGTGGTATAAGGGGGTTAGAATTAATGTCAGTGTAAGTGGGTGTTTATTTAAGTAACCCAACGACACTAAAACTGCTGTGTTTTAGGCGTGTCGTCTGTTGGTTTTCAGTGTGTTCATGTTTATTGCATCATTAAGTCCAGTGTGTGTTACTATCGCTTCTTCTTGGCCATAACTTTGCCCTGTTTCCAAGCTTCATTTTCACCGTGAATTTCTTTGACCTTTCGGCATTCCTGCATCTGACCCTAAACATTACCCGAACCCGACGAGTATGCATACATTGAGACTGTCGCTCCTTTTCAGGTCCCTCGGCCGTAGACACCGCAAGATGGCAGTTTTCAGGGCCTGCCCAAAATATCTCCAATTCTCATTGACCTGCCTAACGTCAAGCCAACCTGTATGGGTTGCTAAGTAAATTACAGAATACGGTGAAGTTTATACTAGAGACGACACTGCAGATATAGATAATCTATTTCGGGCTAACAAAGGAAGAGGAAAATAACGCTAACCCCCCTATACTATAGGACTTTCCGGGGAATTACTTACGAATTCCATCCTAATCTCGCAGCCAATGAGATGGGGTGCAAAAGCTGAAAATTACCCTTAACGTATCATGCATATCATAAGAGATGCTTAATAAGGCTTATTGTAAGACTGGCTACCTCATCCTATGGAGCACTGGCTATGAAATTCAACCAGTAATGAAATAGATTTGCATGGAGTTAGTTGAGGGCTGTTGTTTATTGGGATATTTTAGGCAGAAAATGAAAGATGTATCAAATTCTTTATTCTTTTGAGTTGTAAAGTTAAAGTCAAGAGGATTGACTTTATTATTGCACAGGTTATCCCAAGGGGCTTAGTCTGTCTTCGCAGAACGGATAGCCAGCCTCCGAAAGCAATACATAAAGCACAAAACCCATAGTACTAGTGACAGTCTCCAATAATGTCTGTAAAAATAGCTGCCCTCCTGAACGGAATGATGTATCGGTGAAGTACCCCTGAAGAGCACAAGCTGTAATTTCTAGCGTGTACAGCAGCTACACAGATTTATGTAAAAACAACCCTTTTCTTTAAACAGTAAATCCAGTTCTTAAACACTATTGTGATATTGTAATCCTTGTAACAGAATGTAGTAGTTTTAAAAAGTTAGATCCCACTTCTCTCATTTCAGATTATGCCAGATTACTACCATTTCCAGCACCGAAAGGTGGCTAAGCGGTCAGTGTTTGCCAGCAATCATTACCACAAATCTTTAGCAGAAGATAGCGAAGTAAGTCACTGTCATATGTTTAATGTCTATGGATCTGGATAAGTGTGCTTGTGGTGCATATGACTTTCGTTAAAGTGAGCAGATTTTTCTTTTCTTTTAATCATAAGCACCTGGCCTCTTATTTTTGTGCTATATCTTTCATGTGTTATCTACATGGGGTGTTAAGAGCACTACTGTGACATTTAGTTGTGTATGAAAATGAAATAAATGTAAAAATAATTAACGTCTCTGTGTCACCGAGACCCTAACAGGAAGCAGAGAGTAGTAACACTGCACCCTACCAGGTATGTTGTAAGAGGCGACATGGGAAGGATTGGGCCTCAGGGTTGGCTACCTCATTCTAGAAAAAAACAAAACAATAGCCACAAAACCTTTCAACCATGGAAAAGTCAAGAAGAGAAACAAGAAAAACCCAGCCAACCATGATGAGGACAGGGAGAGAGTTGCATGCGATAGTGAAAAACAGAACAACTTGGCATGAGTTGGTTGAGGGCCATGTGCTCCAGTTAGAAAACATAAGAAGAAGAAGACAAAAAGTAATTCAATAGGCATATGATGTGACATTCCTTACACTACTTTGCGTATATTTTACAATTATTTAAATAATCATCGCAGTAGGATCAGTAGTAGGAGATGGCTAGACACACCCTGAAGTTATTTAGTTTGATTCTGCAGTGCAGCAGTTTTTTATAATTAATTTTAAGATGGGTACAAGGAAATGTCCTGAGAAGGAAAGATGGCTAGTGAAATTTTTACAACATACCTACCTTTTTGTAAGCTTTTTTTAAAACAAAACATTAAACTCACCAACATATTCTAGTGATTTCAGGAGGTGGAGAAAATATGCTGGCATTCAGTAGATCCACACTTACACAAAAATTTCAATAGTATAACTAGAAATTGCTTCCTCTGGAACCAGCATTTAAAAAAAAAAGCAGTGTAGAAGATATAAGACACATATAAAAGATAATTGGACACAGATGAGGAGGAAGGGAGGAAGTAACAAAGGATAGAGCTTGCCATGGGTTGGTTATGGGCCTTTGTTCTGTTGGGATAAGTATTTATTTCAGAATCTGTCACTACATTTTAATCTTATTAATTGATAAACACCTTTTTAATAATTTGACTGTGCTTATCTTTTATGTTCGTAGGGTTATTTTGTAGTGTAACTTCCAGTAGTTATTTCCGCTTCTGAATGATTTGTATGAACTATTCTCAGAAGCATCTCAGGTTGCTGTAAACCTGTTCTGTTTGTTCAGCTCGTCAGATTTATGCCACTGCTCATGCAGAAATATTGATTATTGGAATCTTGCAGTATTTGAAGCAAATGTTTAATGATTATAACAAATAATGTTGTGGTGCAGCAACTAGGATCCACAGCTTTGATTGCTGCAACTACTTGTTTGCAGGTTTATTGATGATTGTTCATTCTTATTATAAACTGTGTAAAGTAATCTGACAGCAAATACTGCCATAGAGGTGTGAAGTGTTGGGCTTTGTTGTGTAACTGCTGACTGCTTTTATGTAGTGGGTTGACCAAGTCCTGTCTTGCCACATTTCTTGTTCTTAGGTACCTTTAGACCTGTTGGGTGGGGGGAAGGGTGAATAGACCCATTGCTGCTTGACTCTTTTGCCAGAAAAGCCGCATAGCAGACAATCCCGGTTGGGTTCAGTTCCTTGTAAATGTCACTTGTCTGTCGTGACCTGTTTATGAGACGCAGAGTGAATGCTGTTGGCTGTTTTTTTTACACCTGTACAGGCATTTAGGAGGTCAGGATATGGATACATTAACTAAAAATAGTATTTCGGGAGCTTTTCTTTGGAGCCAGCTGATGATGTTTTTGCATATTGGCAAGGAAATGATAGACAATGGATAGTCCAAGAGCTGCAGGCAACTGTAGACAAAGTGACTGACTGGTGTGCACAAATGGGAGTGGTCATCAACTCAGAAAAGATAGCTGTTTTGTGGTGCTCTCTGGTCAATAGAATTGTAAGAGCTGATGTTCCAAGCCTCACAGATAATAACAATAACATCAAAAGAGAAAACAAACTGAGGTACCTGGGTATCACTTTCGATAAAAGCCTGTCCTGTAGGGATCACGTGGAGGCAGTTGCGGTGAAATGCTAAAAAAGACTCAATGCTCTCAAGATTATGGCAGCAATAGACATGGAACAAAGAATGCTGTTCACAGTGTTCCAGCATGTGATCCTGTCAGTGATAGATTATGGACTTGGAATGCTTACCATATCAAAGAGTCAGCTGAAAAAACTTGAACACATACAGAATAAAGCCATGCGGGTAATTCTGGTACAAGAAATATCCTTGTAGTATGTATGCGATATATACTTGCAATGCCTACTATTGCAGATAGGCTCAAAGTTCTGCAGGCAAAGTCATATCTTAGAGTAGCTGCAGACAAGAAGCACCTCCTGCATGAAGCCCTGGGTAGAGCTAAGGGTCCTGAAAAGAGGAAGGTCTTGGATGCCCCAAGCTGAAGACACAATTAGACAGGTGCAGGCTTGATAATTTTGAGTGAGGAGAGGAGTGGGTCAAAGTGTTCGAACAAGTTTCAGACTTGTGTAGGGTTCTAATCACGTTAAGTTGTGAGTGCAGAGACTGGCCAGCTGGTGCTGCAGAATCAGAAGTTCAACAAATGATTCATGACAATTCCTTCCCAGGTGATGTGATTGTCTATACAGATTGGCCTGTGTTGAGGGGCAGACAAGTGTATGGATGTCGCATAGTGCGGCAAAGCCTTGCATATGATATCACAACGTCTAGTTTGAGAACGGAGGTGGAGGCAGTCTCTGCTGCCTTCCACTGGCTTGAGAATCAGCTGTACACACATGCCCATGATTGTAACTGACTCACAGAGCATGATGAGAAAGGGAAAATAGGCATGCTTCATGCAGAGTGGCGAGCATCACTTCAGGGGTCCCGGGTAGTTAAATTCTTTTGGATATTTTTCCAGGTTATGCTGGTGTGTTAGGAAATGAGCAGGCAGATAAACTGGCTGGCTCTGCACCACTTGGTGGTGAATTGATGTATGACAAGTTAGATATTGTGAGGGCTCTTTGGTAGCAAGTGAACAGTGTGGAGGCGCAGATAGATCATTACGGTCTAAGGAGAATGGTGCTTCAAGGAGTTACCAGAGGATTTGGCTTAACGCTCAACACTGTGAGGAAGAATGAGATAGATATACCATCAGACAGTTATTGGTACTATCGCAATTGAAACTCTTTGCTTGCTGCTGAAGATGGGGACTGAGCACTTATAGGAGTGTCCCGAGTGCTGTGATGTTGATTTCTAATTCAACAACATGCAACATTTTTTGAGCCAAACTTGTTTAAAGCCAAGTTGATGTCAAATTGTCACAAAAGCCTCCGGGATAGAGGTCACAAGGTCAAAGCATAATTCACTCATTACATGTGCTTTTTATTAGGCTTTGGGGAATGAATTTCATTGAACTCTTTACCCTGTTTATGTTTATTGATTACTTTATTTGTGTGTGTGTGTGTGTGTGTGCGTGCGTGTACACACACACACACACAAATGGAGTATATAAACATATATATATATATATATATACACACATATAATATATAGTAATATATATAAACATATATATATATATATATATATATATATATATATATATATATATATATTTAAAAAACGGGGAAGACTAATCCATTCAACAAATGCCTGCAGAAGTTGGAAGTGTTGGCTAAAATATCGCAGCCATGCTGTAAATGGACACAATGCGGTTACATCTTATGATGATCGCAGAAGAAGAAAAAGATATATATTAAAAATGTACAAATGTGAATCAATATGTTTTGAAAAATGATGAGTGAAGAGCTAGTTTGCAGTCTTGTAGGTTATATCTCGTAAACTTGCAAAAGTACATACGTGTATGAGATTGGTGCATGGGTGGCTCTGGAAGTCGCTGGATGTAGCCTTTAGTTTTGTGTGTAGTTTAGTTTTGTTCATTGATAAATTAAAAGGGCTACACATCCTTTGTAAATGCAAGGATTTATAAGTTAATAGTGTCAAACTAAAATAAACCAAACAATCGAGCAGAATACTGTACAGGAAGCAGAGCTCACCAAAAAACCTTCAGCATGCAGCTGAATTATGTTCACAAATTCATAGGAGAATAGTCAGGAGCTTGTGAACTTGTAGATCATAGGAGAATAGTCAGGAGCTTGTGAACTTGTAGATCATTTATATCAGTGGTCTCTAAGCTTTTTCAGGTGGCGTCTCTTTGTGTATATGGCAAGGACTCCCCCCCCCCCCCCCCCCCTCTCCCAACTTAACAAAATGTGATACATGTCATTTTAATCTATAATTAAATGTTATCATATTAATTAGGTTTGTAACGGTAGATGTACAAACTGCTCATAAAAACAACAACGTCCTTGGTTTTTTTCTTTTATATAATGGTTAAAAAATATTGTTGTTGGTAATTACACCGAAAAATATATTAGTATAACACTGTGATTCTCAAATTGAGCGCCCCGGAGAGCCGCAACCTCTTCACAGGGGTGCCGCAAAATATTGTAAAAGCTTTATAATTAATTTAATCAAGACACAAATAGTTATACTTTTACTTAGATTAGGGCTCTGTGGAAAAAGTTTAATTAAAAAAAGGCGCCGTGACCAAAAACAGTTTAGGAAACTGTTAAAAACAGATTATTACAAGCGCAGGTGCACTCATTTTCAACACTGCTAGACACTTTCCTTGAAACCTCCTCAAGCTCCTCCTAGGGAGGCATCTCTCCCTTCCATGTAAGAGACCACTGATTCAGTTGAAATCATGTGTTTGGATAATAAATCTTCTTCTTCTTTCTTCTTCACGTTCACCAGCTGTAAACTCTGGCGGAAGGTTCTGGTTGCTCGTCCACTACTGAACTGCAGTCCTGCTCCAGAACCTGAGTGTTGCGTGTGCATCAGTTTTACAGATCTCATTCTCTTGAATACAGACTGTTGGTTCCTT